AAGTTTGACAGATAAAATGAGGGGTTATTGGTTTTTCCTATGTTTCGAGGGGTGAATCGATTAGCTTGGGACCGAAGGGAGTACCAGAGCTGAGCCAAAAAGTTGAGCACGTTATTTCGGGACCTTCTAGTCTTAGAGTTACCTCTATGGTTTCACCACTGGGCAGTCCTTTCATGACAACCTTGAACACACGTTCTGCTGTCTTTCTTGAGAAGACATTTAAATCCGTACAAGGTTTCAGCCAATACACTGCATTCACCTTGACGTCCAATTTGTAGTGAAAACATAACTTTCACGAAATTCAATAGTTCAATGCGAAGAGCATGGAAATCGGAAGTGGTTATCACAATAGGGGGAACCTTTTTCTTCTTGGCATTAAGCCGGGAAAGTTTACTAGAATTTTTCTTTTATGATGGATCATTCTCATCATCTGCAAGCAAACCAAATTAATTTCATCAGAAAGGGGATCAAGAGTTTGCCCTTTTCTTTTGCGCTTAGGCACCATGCACCATTTTTATCCAAATCGACTGCAAGCAGATTACTATAAGAATCTGAAGGATCGAAGAGGAATTTTCCAAATCGATATCCAAGAAGGATTCCCTCGGGTAGGGTCCAAACAAGGATCGAAGAGGAATAAGAGTTGAACAAGGTAGAAATTTTACAGATTGGGCACTGAAAAGTGCTGTTTAAATTTGTTGTAGCTTTAGGTAGTAGTAACACTTCCTTCAGCAAAAAGCAAATAGATCCGCACGGCAAGAGAGCGCGATGCGGACTGCGTTTCATTTGTTTTTGAGAATATTGGGTGCACATATTCATATCACCCGTTCTTATTGACTTCGTTCGGTAGCATTTGAACTAAAGTATGTTACCAAACGCATAATTTACCTGTTAACGCCGAAATCATGGATTTATTTGATGTTTTCTATCAAGCACTTATGCCGAAGTAGTTCTCTACCCTATAAGGTAGGGACAAAATTTCATGTTTAAACTGATCATATGCCATTGACATATGCAGTATCTCCAAAAAATGTCAATACAAAATTAAAGCGATGGAAGGCATACATCGAGGAGCATGATCATGCAATCTTTTATAAGAAAGGTATTTCTAATACTGTTGCAGATGCCTTATCACGAATCAAAATTAATAATAATACGATACACATGATTGAGGTCCTTACACAAATAAATTCATTAACACCAACACTCTACTCTTCAGACAACGATGATCTATCATATATTCCATCAACAGAATCACCTATCAATGTTTTCAAAAACCAACTCATATTTAAAATTGATTCTAGATCTACTTATACTTTTTCAGCTATCTTTGGAAGTTATAAAAAACATGTATTCACAGAACCATAAAATAATTTTTTATTACCAAACGTTTTAAATGGTATTTTAACAATAGAACCTGTCATGGCATTAATTCAAGAAATATAAAAAGATACATATGATCCAAACAGAATAAAAGCTAGATTTTCTCAAAAAATTGTTGAAGATATTACTAATGAAAATGATCAAATTCAAAACATACAAGATATACATTCACTTGCACATCGAAATGTTAAAGAAAATATTCGACAGTTAATTAGATTATGTTATTTTCCTAAAATGCATAAGAAAACAAAATAAATACATGTGAAATTTGTAAAATTGAAAAGCACGATAGAAAACCACAAAAAGAATTACCTGTAAAAACACCAACTCCACAATATCCAGGAGAAATTATACATATTGATATATTCGCATACAATCAAAACAATATATTCATATCTTCTATTGATAAGTTGTCAAAATTCGTCAAAATTAAAGCAATAAAATCAAGGTCTATTCTAGATGTTCAACAACCACTAATGGATTTATTATACGATTGGGAAATACCGGCTATGATTGTTATGTATAATGAACGAACTTTCGCTTCTGAAATTATTGAACAACAAATAAAAAATTTAGGCATACAGATTTTTAAAACACCAGTTAATCATTCAGAAACTAACGGACGAATTGAACGTGTTCATTCTACTATTAGAGAAATAATAAGATGTACAAGAAGTCATGTACCTGATATATCAGTAATTGAAGTAGCACAGTTAGTAGTACATAAATACTACAATTCCATTAATTCTTTTATAAATGACACGCCAAAAAATGTCTATACAGGGACCAACGTGGAAAATTTAAATATGATAGACTTTTCAAGACAAATGCAACAAAATTTGTATAGAGTAATAAAAAAAAATCGAAAATAAAAATAGAAAAATAGTAGATCCAAATTATAAAGATTTTCCAATTAGCAGTTTTGTGTATGAAAAAGTTAATACAATTTCGAAAAGAGAACCTCGTTTCAAAAAAATCTAAATAATTGAGAATCATTCAACTATTATAATATATGAGAATGCAAGAAAAATCCATAAAGCAAATTTAAGAAAATTATTTAAAAATAATTAATTCTTGGTTGTTTTTTATTTATCCTTTATTGCAGATTATTACTACAAGCAGATAGTTCGATGATACAAATACGTAATCTTAATAGCAATCCACTTGCTATAGTTTCTTTAGGCGAAGCTAACGTCAAATTAGGGTTCATCAGAATTATGCAGCCTGTTGAATTTGATCAATTGGAAAATATAATAGATTCTTTTAATAATTTAGTTAATTTAAAGGCTTATAATAGCCAGTTGTATAGATTACTGCATACTTTTTCAAAACTTAGTCTAGTACAAAAGCGTAGGAAACGCTGGGATAGCATTGGAACTCTTTTCAAATGGATAGCAGGAACTCCGGATGCTGAGGATCTTCGCATCATCAACTCCACAATGAACAAAGTCATACTTACTTACTTACTTACTTAAGGGTCCTGTGCACCACCAGCGGTGCAAAGGCCCATCCTGGGTGGCTGCTCGCTTTTGCCTTGACCTGGGCCCAGGTCAGATTCCTATCGACTTGCTTAATTTCCTTATTGAGGCTCCGCCGCCATGAGCCCCTGGGTCTGCCTCTGCTGCGATGTCCTGCCGGATTTCAATCCAGCGCTTACTTGCAGATTTCGTTTCCGCCCCGTCGAAGTGTGTGGCCGACCCACCTCCACTTTCGCTCTCGAATTTCTGTTGCTATCGGCTTCTGATGACATCGACGATGGATGCCGAGATCCAGTTGTGAGGCCACCAGGCACGAATTATATACCGCAGGCATCGGTTGATGAAGACCTGCAGCTTTTGAGTGCACTCCATCTCGCTGGCGTATAACAACACAGATTTCACGTTCGAGTTAAAAATTCGGATTTTGGTGCGTTGACTTATCTGGTTGGATCTCCATACGTTTCGTAAACTCGCAAAGGCAGCCCTAGCCTTCTTGATACGTGCACCTATGTCGCTCTTGGTCCCGCCGTCCGACGCTAATTGGCTGCTAAGATATTGGAAACTTTTGACCTTCTCCACTGCTTGCCCCGCTACCGTAAAGTTGGAAGGGTTGCCTGTGTTGATATCCAACGATTTGGTCTTGTTGACGTTGATGGTGAGACCCGCCGCAGAGGAGCGTTCGGCTAGGTCATTGAGCTTACTCTGCATATCAGAACGCCGTTGTGGTAGTAGAGCAACCTCATCTGCCAAATCGAAGTCATTGAGATGCTCCATGGTGATGGCTGCCAAAGCAGCCCACGGTTCGGTACACGGTCAATTGCACTTACCATGATCTCGTCGATTACGATGAGAAACAGTAGCGGTGATAGTATACATCCTTGTCTCACACCAGCGACTACCCGGATAGGGTCGGACAAGGCTCCGTTATGCAGAACTCTGCACGTGAAAGCCTCATACTGCGCTTCGATGAGGTTGCGTCTCAGGGCGCCCCACAGATTCTCGTGAGGGGTAGTGCGGTTTTAGAGCAAATTGTAAACCAACTCGGTCGCTGTCCCATACAATTAATCCAACATGGCTGAATCATGAATTTGACATATTAGAACACTTATATGTAGTCACCTTGGTCTCAACCATCCAGTTCCAGCACTATCAACATCACCCGATTCCAGGAATGACAACATATCGCAACGATTGCAAGTGTTTGGTTTGGACTGTGAATTCCTTTCAATATGTAGACGTAAACATTATGGGTTCATGGTGGATGATAGAGATAAATAAATCAGTTCTAGTTGGACCATCTATCAAGAAGGTTGTTTTAATCCGAACTTCTTCTTAAAAAACGCTTACTTAACCCAAGTTTGCGTAACTGGTGCGAAACCCCGTTTCCTTCGACGCATCATTTCATATTGCAAAAAGCTATCGTCATTAAATTCCTTTTGCTATTACACATTATATTTGCACAAAATGACGCAAGTCTTTTGTAATCTAAAGTGATGCATCGATAAAAAAAAACTGGGCTTTGATTTATCAACAAATGCAACACAGTAAATTGCACCTTAAAAAAATTTCATTAGCTACATGCTTTGATGGTGTGTGTGCGCATAGAAAACCCATGTGGAATGGATCGCTTTCTGAGTGTCAAAACGTTACACTTTTTGATTCAATCTGCACTTGCTCTGCTGATAAGTAAATGAATGTCTACTGGAAATTAAGCTCTAGCTATCGGTCTAAAAACTGTCTCTGTGGTCGCCAGACGACGTTCACCTTTAACCATCGCTTTAAATACTTCCCGCCGTAAATAGTTCGAATGATCTACAAGTCTTAGTTCTAATCTTTTCGACACAAATAGAGAGGCAACAAAAGCCGAATTTGTTCATTGATTAGAAAACCAAGCAAGTAACCGGGACATATCGGCAACCGAAGCTGTCCCTTCGGCGGTGCCATCCGAACCCTCACCTGCAGTTTTCGGGCCGGGCTTTTTATCTTTGAGTACTGATAAGCCCTGAGAGACATCATATCAATACAATGGTGTGCAGGTAACCCCCGTCAAGCATACTTATGAAGTAGTCACACGCAATAATAGCCCACACCAAGGAGCCACCCGACAGAACCCCGCATTCTCAGATAGCATTCAGTTTCGGACCGGTCGACTGCTTTTTCGCGCACGCGGCTAACTTTATTCCAAATTTAATCAATTACCAATTTGGCACCCCCTCAAAGATAGCTATTGGTAGGATTGTCAATAACGAGTGTACAGTGAATTACATCACCGGTTGGACAAACGTCTTACAAGTGTGACTTCATAACCTTCCTAGGAGAATTCCTAGGGCGTGCGGCTACTACGTGTTACATTACGTTTTTACTTTCGGTGTGGCGTGATAAGAACTGAACCGTCTGCGGTGTCTGTACGGTTCCGCTGCATTCCTAACCAGTGAGACTAATAAATGATCTGGAGAAAATGTGAATCACTGAGACGTCATATTTCGCGTTATCGTGCACCCGGGCGGTCGTGTAAATAAAAGTATCAACCTGAAAACGCGTGGTAAATTGTGCGAAAAAAAAAGTAAGCAAATAGCGAAAAGTCGAATTGCAACATATTTCGGAATGATTACACGGAGAATGATGCCATCGGTGGTGACTGGACTGGTGTTTGTGCTGTTGATGGCAGGAACCGGAGCAGTTTCGGAGGTTTCGGAAGGCAGTGGCAGTGACTTAGATTACGATTATAGCAGCAGTGTGGAATCGGTGGGCAAACCGGTTTTGAACATTTCCAGTGATGATGAAGTGTTGGATCCGATTGAGGACGGCTCCTATCCGGAAGATGACGATGATTACGGTGCTGCTTTGGACAATCCCTTGGCAATGCCATCGGTGGAGGATGTGCTTGAAGTGATCGATAGTGCGAGCGTAACTACTGATGGACCCGGGGAAGAACACATTCCCGATAGTGCTTCCGTTAGGATTGGTTTGCTGGAAACATTCGAACTGGATGCCCAAGGATCGGAGAATGCAACCGAAACGGTCAGTACGACTGGATTGACGGAATCCGCTGGAAGGGCTGTGGTCGATGTCACACCGGCGCCGGATTGCAGGGGCTTTACGGTATGTACTTTAATTGGTATGATGTACAGTTGGTAGCACTTGATGTGTATTGTAATCAAATGAAGACTGATAAGATTGATTGCACCTTTACCTAGCGGATCGATACATTGTAGAACATGAGTAATAAAAGTAAACTTACTATACTGATAACGTTTCAATAGAACGGCGATTGCAAAGGAAGAATGAGATGAAGAAGAAACCGGAGGCTAACAGTTTTTGAAGCTAGCTTTTAGCGTTTCTCGTCCTTGAATTGGGGGATTCCCGAAGTGTTTTCGTAAAATTGGTTCGCCTACAAAAAAATGAAACGCGGTTGACCTTCTAGCGACAAACGTTTCATTTTTGTGTTGAAGACTAATAAAATGTGGGATTTTGGAAATAGGGTGCTTTTTTTCCTTGATTTGTTTTACGTCGATCTTGTTTTTTGTACTGAAAACCAATGCCACCCACGTGGGATGAAATCAAAAAAATGTAGGACATGGTCATTAGCGATGAAACTATTAAGTGTAGCATTTTGATGTCTTCTAAAATGTTTCTTAATTTTTTGAGTACTTTATTTGAGTAGTGGACATTTTTGCTAAAAGGGGGGTATACTGCCTATAATCCCATAATAGTTCAATGTGAGGCTAATGTGAATAGCTGCTCAGCTCCGTTGCTACCCGTTGACTCTCACCACCCCCCGTATGAGATGATGGTCCCACCTCTTACCCCTACAAAGATTTGAGCTGGACGATTTATCTTTAAGATAATTAAATATGGCATTTTAACCAGGTTAGCAAACAAAATCAAACTGGTTTCAGTTACAGATATAAATACAGTTGCTTCACAGCGATATAAATGTGGAAAAACTCAGGCGTCCATCTCTTAGCTCGCCTTTTTGTCCACCTAAAATATTCATAAGTATTACAAGCAATCAAGAGTTAATGAACAATCAACAAAGCATCCTATTACACTAGTAACCCCGCAATCTGATGCTATCATAATTTTCAGCAATGTCAGGAATGCTCACGAACCCCCAACATTTGCCAGAAAACTTACTGCTAGCTCAAGGTATCTTCCAAATAAGCTTCAAAATTGCATTTTTTTTTTAATCAAATGTTAAATTCAGTCCTCTATATCCGTAATACGCGCGCGAGGCTCAAACTTGTATAGACTACTTATTTTTACTTCCATCATCACCATCGAGGCGAACATAAATAGGTTTTGCAGTGCTACAATAATTATTAAAAAAAATCGTTATGACAGCTATCCATATAAAATAATCCGTTAGAGATAACTTCGTCAAGATACATAATTTGTCAAATGTCAATAAAAAAATAACTGGATAACTGTTCAAAAGACAGTTTCAACGTGTGAAATGCAGTGTCTTTTTAATTCTGTAAGTGTTGCTGAACGTTTGATATGTCTAGGCATCGAATTGAAAACATTTATTCCTTAATAATCTAATGAATTTTGTGAAGCACAAGTCAAAAAATGTGGTGTTCTTATTTTAACCGCGTGTCTAGTATTATATCTATGGAAGTCACTTCCTCTTTCAATTCGATCACACAAATATCGAGGCAGCAAACCGTTAAAAATGAACACCATAGTCAAATATACAATTCTTTGCTTCACCGACAACCATTGTAAGGCGTCTAGCATCAAAGTTGAGGAAGTGAATCTATTACATCTCAAAATCAAACGCATTATTTTATTCTGCAAGCGCTGTAATCTCGATATTTGTGTTGCATTGGCCAGAAAAAAATGGAAGGGCAACAGTCTAGATGAGGAGAGATGATTGATTTGCATAGCTGTATTTTACTGGCAATAGTTAAATCGTCCTACAGGCGACATAGAATTCCATACTTCTTGGCAATTTTCTTGATGACATTGTCAATGTGAGAGTTGAACTTAAGTGTGTCATCAATAATCACGCCAAAATATTTAATCTCCCGACCGCGATCAATAGTCTCATCATCAATTACAACAGAGACGTTCTCATTTACTCGATTCCGCGAAATTACCATAAATTTAGTTTTACTTGTATTGAATTTCAACTGCTTATACTTCAACCATCTACTTAGAGAACGCAAATCTTCAAACAAGTGTAAAACGGCATCATCTAAATCCTTAGCTGCAATGAATAACACAGTATCATCTGCAAAAAGATTAATGTCGCAAAATCGTAAAACACGTCGCAAGTCATTAATATACATAATAAATAACAGGAGCCCTACTACACTTCCCTGTGGCACTCCAAGGTTATTCCCCACGGGACTGCAAACAGAATCATTAAAAGCAGTCCGTTGAGTTCTACCAGACAAATAGCTTTCAAACCATTTATATGCAGTACTCGTAATTCCAAAGCGCTTGATTGATCTCAACAACAAGGGCCTAGAAATTGTTTCAAAAGCGCGTTTAAGATCCAAACACTCCAAGTTATTTTTCCACTTCGCTAATACCAAATTCAACGCGGTTTTACAAGAATGACCTTCCCGATATCCCGATTGTTCTGGTATCAACAAACTATTACTTTTTAAATACTCCAACAGCTGGCCTTTAAAAACAAGTTCTAAAATTTTCTCTAATGTGTGCAACATGTTGATGGGACGAAACTCTTTGGCTTTAATCGGTCCAGCAACTTTTTGAATAGGGACCACTAAGGATTCCTTCCAAATTTGTGGCACATGTCCAGTTTGCAATGATTCATTAATAAGGTCCAGCAAGATGTGGCCAATGATATGAAAGCAATCTTGAATAACTCTAGCATTAACATTATCTACTCCAGCCGATTTTCCTAATGAAAAACAAATAACTCTAAGTTCATCTAATGTAATTGGGTGAAAAACTTCAAATCTACAACTACTATTAACTGGCTGTTTTATTTCGTCAGGTTCATCGACCAATTCAAACACTTTCGACAAAATAATGACTAAACTAAGATGCAATTACTTGTTCTGATTGTTCTAATGTGCCATTAAAAGTTATGGACCACGGTTTGCAATTTCTAGGTTTTAATAGGGATTTCGAAATTTTCCATAACTCTTTGCTGTTGTTTTGATGCTGATCAATCTTCCTTTGAACATATTCACAGCGAGTTTTCTTTATCGATTGTGAATACTTATTACGCGCGATTGTGTACCAAGTCCAATGATTGGCATTATTAGATCTTCAAAACTTTGTGTACCATTTGTCCCTTTTCCGTTTAAGACGCAAAAGATCCAAATTGTACCAGCTGTTCGAGTTTTTCAAAGAAACAAACTTTTGCTCAACTAGTTGATTGGTACACGTTTTCAAAGCGTTATTAAGAACAGCTGTAGATTCATCTAAGTTACCGGCCACGAATGGTAAATCCAGGCTCCTCTCAACAAGATTCGAAACAGCTTGCTTCGAATATTTCCTCCAGCACTTCAATTTTACAAAATTATCGTTATCGTTAACAAGGTCTAAGACATTAATCATGATCGGTTATTTTCAAATCAGTATCCGTAACTGAACAAATGGAATCAAAATTGGAATAAACGTGGTCAATTACCGTTTGCTTTAAATTAACGTGGTCATTTACCGTTTGCTTTAAATTAAAAAAAACTCAGCTAAACGCTTCAAATGATTCGAATTATGGTTATCACGCCAATTAATATTAAAATCACCACCCAATATATTTAATTTACTAGAATCAAGGAATGTCTCGAGCCAGTTCTCTAAAACTTCAACAAAACGCTGGTCACTAGAACTGGGAGAATGATACAAAACACCATAATTACCCATCTTCATGCCAACTGTAATGCCCAAGAACCAGTTGCCATCAATAACTTCGTTGGTACGAAGGTTGAATTGAACTGATTCTTTGACATAAATAGCAACACCACCAGTGTGTCTAGAATGTGATGAACAATAGACTGCCAGCGAAAATGGTAATTTTTAATTTCGCTAATAAACCATATACAAAATGTTTATTGCCTCGAAAAATGACCCTATGCAAAATTTGAGCTCAATCGGACATGATTTAGGGGTGGCGCAAACACGTCAAAGTTTGACTTTTTTCACTCTCGAAAATCTCCCAAGGGGTACATGAAATTTCGGAAATCAAAAAATTTTTTTTGGTGCCAAATGTCTTAAAAATGCATGAAGCGTCAAGATTTGGTGTTATCTCGAAAAAATTCTTTTTTTTTTTAAATCGACTTTCTGGGACCTAGAATTTTTTTTCATGAGTTCTATACTGCCGCTCTTCGCATGTCCGTCCCATAGTAAAAATCGGCAAGCCGAGAAAATCGCGTTTTAAGTTTGCTTCGTACCATTGATTCTTATGTGATGGGACAACCAATGTGACTGTCTTTCCAAACTTTTTCAGTACAAAGTTGATGAGTTCATCCAGTATTATGAAAATATGGGTAATTAGCTTCCATTTGCATTGAAAAACTCAGTTTTGACAAAAACGACTATGGGACCGACATGCGAAGAGCGGCAGTATATGGAATATAGAAAATTTATGCGTCGGCTTTTAAAACTGTTCACAATTGTCTCCAACCTGCTTATATATCGAATTAAACCACCATTTAGAATCTAATACGAAATAATTCACTAGGGTGGTCCAATTATTCTTCATTAGGGTGGCCAACAAATTCAAAAATATATGAAAAACCACAACTTTTCATCAGAAATTCCTAAAATCAATTTTAAAAATATCTTGAATTGCGTTAATCTGTTTTTTTTTTGGGAATCATGAGTTTTACACAAGAGGAACATTTGCCTGAAAAGATGAAAAAATACTTGTTTTATACTTTGCCATACATTTCCTTATTAGCCACACCAAATCAGATTTCCTGGTACTCTTATAATTTTTTCGATGAGCTTCAACTAATTGTAAAATGCACTGCTTTTGATCTTCATCCGTTGATAGTTTTGAATTGTATATTTTAACACTCCGAATACGGTGGGTAAAAAACTTTACGCCGACTACGAAGCCTCCGAAAAACGTGTAACGGCAAGTTTGCAATGGCACAACTTAGCCATTTCTTAATGAA